CACACAAATGAAGTTTAAGGGTAGAAAAGTAGGGAAAAGAAATCAAAGACCAAAGCCAGGCATGGTGGCACAGGTCTTTAATCCCAGCACTTGGGAGGCAGAGGCAGGCAGATTTCTGTAAGTTTGAGGCCAGCTTGGTCTAGTGAGTTCCAGGCCAACTGGGGCTACAGGGAGACCCTGTCTCAAAACGACCCACAAAAAAAAAAAAACCAGCATTTAAAAAAATTGCATTAAAAAATTTTGTAGGCTAGGGGCTGGAGAGATGGCTTAGTAGTTAAGAGCACTGGCTTCTCTTAAAGAGGACCTGTGTTTGGTTCCTAGGACCCACAATGTTGCTAACAACTATCTTTAACTCCAGTTCCAGGGAATCTGACACTGTCTTCTGGCCTCTGCAGGCATTTCACACACATGATGTACCACATACGTGCACACAAAACACTCATACACATAAAATAAGAAAATGTTAATTTGTTTATTTTTATTTTATGTGTATGAGTTTTGCCTGCATTTATGTAAGGATACCCTTGTTGTATGATGCCCATGAAGGCCAGAAGAGAGAGTCGGATCCCCTGGAACTGGAATCACAAATGGTTATTAGCACCATATGGATCCTGGGAAGCAAACTCTGGTCCTTTCCAAGAGCAGTCAGTGCTCTTAACCTCTGAGCCATCTCTCTAGCTCCTCAACTGGTTTTTTGATCAAATTATTAAATAGTTTTATTTTAAGATGCATAGTTTCACACCTAGTAATGTAGTACATAGCACATTAGCTTTATAAGTGCATTGCATTCTATATTATATAGACACAGAACATAGCATGTACATGTGTATATGTAAATGGCATGTATTATGTGAAACACACATAAAACACACAATAGGAAAAGAAGAGCTTGTCTTTTGTTATTTATGGGATCCCTCATATGTTCCTGGATTCTAGTTGTTTTATGTTGGCTTCAGTTATTGAGACAGTGTCTTGCTATGTGGCCCAGGCTAGCCTTGAATTTGCGATCGTCTTGATCCTCTTGCCGAAGTGTCTTAAGTGCTAGGATTACAGACATACACCACCGTGCCCAACTTGAACATCTTTGCATTTAGCTGTTTGTTTTGCAGTGCTGGGGATTGAATTTATAGCTTTGCACATACTAGATGTTGATGCAAAAGCATAACTCTCACCTCAAAAGGGATAAGAGATAGTTTATTCTGGGGCCGAATGTGAGTGACCATGGCCCGGGAACACAGATTTAGGTCTTTCCAAATTCCACGTTCCAATGTGGTAATCCTTTCAGGAAGTTTTTATAATAGCAGGATAAAGAAAGCTATAAATTAAGACATTTTTCACATATTGGTGGAGACATCAGAGAGGTGGGTTATATATAGTAAAGGAAGGAGAATTCTACTATAGACCTTAGAAGCTTCATAGGCTTTGGGTTGGTGGAAGCTGGTGATCTGCTTAAAGGTTTTTATCCTTTACTCACAGAATATCAACTGTGACACAGACAGTGCTAATAATGGCTATTTAGGGGCTAAATATGGCCCCAGATAAATTAGTAAACAGGCTCTGGCCCTGTAACATTTCAAACTCTCCACAGTCACTGAAGTGCTAATCAACCTTGCAGGAGGGCCAGTTGGAGATGCAGGATGTGAACTTTCATTCACTATAGGCAAATGCTGTACTAGGAGCTACATCCCCAGTCCTTGCTCTGTTGACAGAGCCTCATTATGTAGCCAAGGCCTGACTTTAACTGGTTATCTTCCTGTCTCTGTACCCCAAACGCTAGGATTACAGATATGAACCACCATGCTGGTCTTAAACATTTGTTTGAAATGAAAAATGTTATGTATTTGTCACCCCTGCTTTTAGAAACCAGGGGCTGAATCTCCTGAAGAAGACGGAGCCACTAAGAGAGTCGATCCTCTCCATCAGCTCACCCTTCTGTTTAGCCGCACGGCTTTGACAGAGAAATAGTATGGTGGGGAGGGTTCACAGCTGACCTAGACGGAGCTAATAAAGAAACCCTTGTCTGAGTCTTGTCTGTCATGTATCTGTGCTTCATTCCATCCTGTCCTGTTAAGAGGGGGTTATTCACTGGTGTAAACTCCTGGACCAGGAGCCACTCATTTTTCATCTTTAAAACCTACTAACAAGGGGCTGGGGAGATGACTAAAGTGCTTGCCTTGCAGGCATGATGACCTGACTTCAATCCCAGACCCACATAGAAACCTGGGCATAACAGTGTGTGTTTGAATCCCCAGTGCTGGGGAGGCAGAGGCAGGCTGATTCCTGGGGTTTGCTGGTCAGCTGCCTAGCCTAAGGAGCGGGCTACAAGTCCAATGAGAGAGCCTGTCTCAAAGGATCTACCACAAGATGGATGGCTCCTAAGGGAAAACACCTGAGGTTGACCTCTGGCTTCCACACAGCCACACACACGCACGTGTGCTGTCATACAGCCGCCCCACACCTATGCACATGTATAGTGCACATGCACACACACATATACACACATGCATGTGTGCTGCACATACACACTTGTGCACATACACACTTGTGTGCACACACACATGCACACACACACACAAATAAAAGAAAACAAAACCAATCACAGCGAGAACATCCTGCTAGTGTACGCTGGTTTTTCTTAACTTTCTAGTAGGTAGATTTATTTGGTTCAGAATCTTCCTGTGAAGATTCTTATGAAGCAGACATTATATATAAATAAAAAGAACTCAAAGAAAGCAAGTTCCATGCCCCAAAATGCAAAGAATCCAATCAGAGTAACCTAAATGCCGTATTAGATTGCATCTCCTTTTTAAGGGAGGCTTAGGAAGGCCTGAGGACTGTGTAAGGTGTTGGGCAGCTCCCCTGAGATCTGTTTCAAGGATATTGCCCATTTGTCTTGCCTTCCTGAGTCCTGGTTCTGTGGACTGGCCCAACCTACCAAGGGCAAAGCCCCATGGAGTTGCATAACAAATGCATTCTCTGAAGCTCTAATCCAGATGCCTTCACTTTCAGACCCTACAGGGGATCCTCAGGGACTGGCTCTGTAGGGGGAACACAGTAAAGGTCACAGAACTTTTATCTGCTTCCCAGATCTGTGAAAGAAAGCTCTGTTGGCCCCAGATCTTATCCTTTCTCTTCAGACCCTGGGAGATCATTTAATTATCAACATAGGTCCCCATGAGTCTGGGAAGCATCCAGTGTCTGTTCTGCATGTCTCTATAGCACTGTGAAGCCTCCCTCCTGGTGGGTGTGATCCATTCTTTCTCTCACAATTTCTCTCTCTTATTATTTCCCAACTAACAAAACCATCTCATCCCTAAGCATAGAACAACTCTCTCTCTGGCTTTGTCAGGTAATGAGGTATTTCTCATTAAGTGAATTTTTCTTAGCTGATGTTCAGAACGGCTATACCTTTGTAAATGTTGGGCTTTTTTGATAGAAACTTAATTAGTCATGCACTGATGGTTTCCATACTTCTTTTTTAAAAGATTAGTAAAATATTTTGTCCTCTAAATATTTA